AATATATTAGTGCTGTCAAATGATTAATCGCGATGAATTGCATCCAAAATAAAAGTTTTTGTTTACATAATATATGCGTGTATACTGTGTATATTTATTATGTATATATAAATACTCACACATGCATGTATATATTTTAGAAAAAATATGTTTACATATTACATATATTTATATATAATATAAAATATAAGAATATGAATATATAAATGTATAAACATGTAAATATTTTCAAAATATATACTGTATGTGTGTGTATTTATACATAATAAATATACACCGTACACATACATATTTAATGTAAACAAAAACTTTTATCTTGGATGCGATTAATCACGATTAATCGTTTGATAGCATGGCTACTTCTATTCATTTGGCCCTAATCAATTAATCTAATTAGTGGATATAGTTAAACTGCATTTCAAAAATACTCTTAGTATATAGCGATGGATAGTGTAGAAAAAGAAGAAAATACAAGGAAGACAAACTGGACTGTGTTTAAAATTAAGAAAGCAACTTTCGTAATTCAGGTGATACTTTTGTAAAAGGTTGATGTCATTGTAATATTTCGATTCCGGTTGTGACACGGTTTGAAAACAGCAGAAATGCTTTGGGTAATTTCTGCGTTTCTCTTAGGGATTTAGAAGTCCTTAGGAGCGCTTCAAAGCTGTTTAGGAGCTACGTTTAGCATCGAAATATTTTGTGAATTACTCTTAGATTAAAAATGTATAGTTCTAAAAGTACGAGTGACATGCCTCTAATTTAAATGAGTTGCTCCTAAATTTCCACATTAGCCCTTAGCCAAGTTAATTTCCACATTAGGCTTTAGCCAAGTTTTTTTTGTTGTTGTAAATATGGCCCCTGGTCCATACTGGTCAAGTGCTCTAAACAGCTACTGCCAGCTTAGACAGGAAGAGCTTTCTGAATGACATCTAAAATAATCAGTTTGTTTTGTTCAGATTGAGAGTCCAAACAGTTGATAAAATCATCACAATGATCCACAAGTAATCCACACCACTCCAGTCCATCAACTAACATCTTGTTGTGTATATTTATTATGTATATATAAATACTCACACATGCATGTATATATTTTAGAAAAAATATGTTTACATATTACATATATTTATATATAATATAAAATATAAGAATATGAATATATAAAGGTATAAACATGTAAATATTTTCAAAATATATACTGTATGTGTGTGTATTTATACATAATAAATATACACCGTACACATACATATTTAATGTAAACAAAAACTTTTATCTTGGATGCGATTAATCACGATTAATCGTTTGATAGCATGGCTACTTCTATTCATTTGGCCCTAATCAATTAATCTAATTAGTGGATATAGTTAAACTGCATTTCAAAAATACTCTTAGTATATAGCGATGGATAGTGTAGAAAAAGAAGAAAATACAAGGAAGACAAACTGGACTGTGTTTAAAATTAAGAAAGCAACTTTCGTAATTCAGGTGATACTTTTGTAAAAGGTTGATGTCATTGTAATATTTCGATTCCGGTTGTGACACGGTTTGAAAACAGCAGAAATGCTTTGGGTAATTTCTGCGTTTCTCTTAGGGATTTAGAAGTCCTTAGGAGCGCTTCAAAGCTGTTTAGGAGCTACGTTTAGCATCGAAATATTTTGTGAATTACTCTTAGATTAAAAATGTATAGTTCTAAAAGTACGAGTGACATGCCTCTAATTTAAATGAGTTGCTCCTAAATTTCCACATTAGCCCTTAGCCAAGTTAATTTCCACATTAGGCTTTAGCCAAGTTTTTTTTGTTGTTGTAAATATGGCCCCTGGTCCATACTGGTCAAGTGCTCTAAACAGCTACTGCCAGCTTAGACAGGAAGAGCTTTCTGAATGTTTTAGATTTAAAGATTAAACAAGAGCAATCAAACCACATCCATTGTTTCCTTTCAAAGTTATTTATGTTTCTCCTGGTCATCAAGGCTGCATTATTTGATCAAAAATATACAGAAAAAAACAGTGATATTGTGAAATATTATTACAATTTAAAATAATGGTTTTCTATTTTAATATACTTTAAAATATAGTTCATTACTGTTGTGGCAAAGCTGAATTTTCAGCATCATGACTCCAGTCTTCAGTGTCACATGATCCTTCAAAAATCATTCTGATATGCTGATTTATTATCAATGTTGGAAACAGTTGTGCTGCTCATATCTCGCGATTAATCGCATCCAAAATAAAAGTTTTTGTTTACATAATATATGCGTGTATACTGTGTATATTTATGAAGTATATATAAATACAAACACATGCATGCATATATTTAAGAAAAATATGCTATGTTTTAGCGATGGATAGTGTAGAAAAAGAAGAAAATACAAGGAAGCCAAACTGGACTGTGTTTAAAATTAAGAAAGCAACTTTCGTAATTCAGGTGATACTTTTGTAAAAGGTTGATGTCATTGTAATATTCCGATTCCGGTTGTGACACGGTTTGAAAACAGCAGAAATGCTTTGGATAATTTCTGCGTTTCTCTTAGGGATTTAGAAGTCCTTAGGAGCACTTCAAAGCTGTTTAGGAGCTACGTTTAGCATCGAAATGTTTTGTGAATTACTCTTAGATTAAAAATGTATAGTTCTAAAAGTACGAGTGACATGCCTCTAATTTAAATGAGTTGCTCCTAAATTTCCACATTAGCCCTTAGCCAAGTTAATTTCCACATTAGGCTTTAGCCAAGTTTTTTTTGTTGTTGTAAATATGGCCCCTGGTCCATACTGGTCAAGTGCTCTAAACAGCTACTGCCAGCTTAGACAGGAAGAGCTTTCTGAATGACATCTAAAATAATCAGTTTGTTTTGTTCAGATTGAGAGTCCAAACAGTTGATAAAATCATCACAATGATCCACAAGTAATCCACATGACTCTAGTCCATCAATTAACACCTTGTGAAGCAAAAAGCTGTGTTTGTGTATGTGACGAGGGGGGCGGGGTCGAGAGCCGTGGGAACGGAGCGAGGCCGGTGGAGTTAATGGATAATGAGCGACACCTGCACCACTCACCGGTCTCGAGTCTCACGGAGGAGCTCCGGAAGGATATAAAGGAGGAGTGACGACAGGGAAAGACGAGAGAGGACCAGGCCTGGATTTTATTTTGTGTTTTGGTTTCGTTTGTGCGCGGCAGTCGTCCGTGAGGGGCTGTCGCGCTATTTTGTGTTTATTTTATTATTAAAGTTTATTTATTACTCTTAGATTAAAAATGTATAGTTCTAAAAGTACGAGTGACATGCCTCTAATTTAAATGAGTTGCTCCTAAATTTCCACATTAGCCCTTAGCCAAGTTAATTTCCACATTAGGCTTTAGCCAAGTTTTTTTTGTTGTTGTAAATATGGCCCCTGGTCCATACTGGTCAAGTGCTCTAAACAGCTACTGCCAGCTTAGACAGGAAGAGCTTTCTGAATGACATCTAAAATAATCCGTTTGTTTTGTTCAGATTGAGAGTCCAAACAGTTGATAAAATCATCACAATGATCCACAAGTAATCCACACTACAGTCCATCAATTAACACCTTGTGAAGCAAAAAGCTGTGTTTGTGTAATAAATCCATCAAGACTTTTTTAACTCCAAACTCTAAAATACAAGTCCTTTATTCATAATATTGCTTTCTTCAGTGAAAAAGTTGTCTCAGGACAGAAATATCCACATGTAAGCTCCTTTTACAAGCGAAAAGAGTTCTAAACAAATGTGCTGTTGGATTTTGATGTGAGAAGACAACTGGAGATGGAATTTTTCCACTGGAGGAAGCATTATGGATTATGGATTATGGACTGTGTTTTGGATTGTTAACTGCATGGATTATGGCAAATGTATTTTGGCCAGAAGCAATGGTTTAAAGATAAAATACCTTGATGATGGATTTGTTTCTTAGAAACATGAAGTTTTTTACTTAATTGATGGCCTGGAGACATGTGGATTACTTACGATGCTTTTATCAGCTGTTTGAACTCTCATTCTGACGGCATCCATTCACTGCATTCGGTCTCGAGTCTCACGGAGGAGCTCCGGAAGGATAAAGGAGGAGTGATTACAGTGTTGGACGAGAGAGGACCAGGCTGGATTTTATTTTGTGTTTTGGTTTCGTTTGTGCGCGGCAGTCGTCCGTGAGGGGCTGTCGCGCTATTTT